TCTTTTCCGAATTCGTCACATGGAGGAAAAAGCGGTTTTTTGCTGGTGGACCGAATTTTTTCCTCGACGACCCCCGCCGGAGTTGTCACCATTCGATAGAGAATTAAATTCTGCACCCAGCACAACCAAGTAGGGGACCAGCACAGACGTAGGGGCGAATCGGCACAGGAAATACGCGAATCTGGTGCTAACATTACCTACGTACAATTTATTACTGAACAACAAGTTATCACAGTATTAGAAAATGGTATTAAAAATTCATTAAAAGAACATTTAATTCGAAATGAAAAAGATATTAAGAAACCAGAAGAATGGCTGCAAGTTGCCAGAGAAGAAGAACATACACAGAAGCGAATTCAACAACAAAGTAATAGTTTATATCCTGAAACAAAAAATAAAACATTTTTCGAATCTATATTACCAACTACAAAGATACTAGCCATGTCATAGAAATCGCTAAAAAATTGTCGATTAATCGCGATATATCGAAACGATAATCGTGAGCTGAAACGCGATTAATCGCCGATTTTTAATGATATTTTTAGTGGTTATTATGATAAATTGCGATTTATTTCCGATTATTTTCAATGTGAACCGTAGCTTTATCGCCAACCGGGTCTAAGATTTTTACTATTTCAGATTAATTTTATTTATTTTCTTAAAACTACATCGAGTTTTTAGATTGAATCTTATTAAAAAATTTATCCGTTTTCATCACACATAAAAGAAAAAATACAATAAAAACACAAAAACCGCGATAGTGATTCGTTTTTAACGTAATTGTCTCATGAAAATTTCGAAAAAGACACAAGAAAAAAATGAAGAGTAGAATTACAAGTGAGAAAATAGATAAAAAACGTGTATATAACATATAAATAACTATTGAGATGGTATATACCAATGTCATGAGAACTAAACGAACTGAATAAGAAAAATAAGGCTCAAGTAAAAGTAAATTACATGAAAAATGTACATGTATATAAAACACAATCACTCGAGTATCAGTATTCAAAGTTTTACCAAATAATCAGCTCTCCGACTAAATTCGACTTGAATATAATCTATAATAGAAACAAAAATAGTTACATGATGACTTTGAAATAACTTACCTATAATAACTATAATTCGATCATGGGCATCACTACTAGTTGATCAACACCAAAAATTTATTGTTCTTGAAATATTCGATTGACATACAATATACAAATTTAGTTGAGTTAGCTTTATCAGCTGGAAATTGAAGAAGATCAATTCTTCACAGATACTATATTTGAAAATCTACAGAAAATAAATTACAAAGAAATTTGGTAAATTTCTACTTACAATATTGTCAGAATTGATAAATCACTTTGATAATTCAGGTCCTATCATATCAAACAATGCGATCAAAATCTAAAAGAGAACAAAAAGATTTCACTGAAATCAGTTTTCTTTGCTTTATGATTTCTCATAGCTTTGCCATTTTTTGACTGTTTAAAGTGAATTTGAATATTGTTCATGTTGATTCGTATAAAACAGGATTATCATGAGCTCCGTTATCTGTATACATCAAAGCTCATTAAACCTACACTAAGAATTTAACCATGTGAAACAGAAAAATCTAAATGTTTACTTTAAGTTAGAAAAAATAGCTCATGCGAATAGAAGTAAATGTTCGAATATTACTCCCTAAACGATACATAGAACGAGCGAAAAATTGCTCTTTGTCTACATCGTCCAACCAAATGAAAGCTATGCTACTGACACCACATAAATTAGTAATTTTTTTTCCTTTCGCAACATTTCCAAGTCTAAAAACCTAGTCTGGTGACTGAACCTATATTTTTTGTATATTTATCTCAAAATTTTAATTTTTTAACAATATATTAAAATGTGATTGTAAAAAATGTCCGATTAATCGCGATTAATCATTCCGATATTTTCGTGATTACGATTAATCCAGTTCTTTTTCAATATCACGATAAAATCTGATTTTATCGCCGATTTTTCAATCTTATGTGATTACTTGCAATTTTACGTTCCTTTTTCGATAAATCACCAAAATCGCGACGATTTTCATGACATGGGAACCAACATCATCGAATATTCAATCGCCGAGTCAACAGCCCTTTACATCACGTCATTACTATCAACAACAACATCAACAAATACCATCATTAACAAATAATCGAACACATGCAAACCAAAATAATTTTTCAAATCTTAAACAAAATCGAAAAAGTATCCAGAAAATATAATACAAAAATCTAATCCATGTTTAATTTGCAATAAAAATAATCATACAACAATAAAATGTTTTTATAAGAAGAGCAACGGCTGTTTTAAATGCGGACAACCAAATCACCAAATTCGTGATTGTCCACAACAACATTTTTTCGAATAAAGGGATCGGATGATGGCGACGATCCCTGTGGAGCCAAAAAGTCATCAACCAACAACACATTCAATCCTATTTTTGTCAAAGTTTTATGCAACAATACTCCACAAACAGCACTTATCGATACCGGATCGGCCATCACTATTATACATTAACACTTATTAAATGATATACCACATGAAAAATTAATATCAAAAACAATAAATCACTTATCTGCAAATTGCCCAACATTAAATATTATCAGTGAAATATCCTTAGAAATAAATGTTAATGGAATAAATACAACAATTATTGCTGATGTTACAACAAATCTTGTTACAAATTTAATATTAGGTAGTGATTGGATCCAAGCAAACAATGTTTATATCCTTACACCTGAACAACGAATTATGATCCGAAGTCGAAGTAAAGAAGTATCAACCCCTTTTGTAAAACCTCCTCCTTTAAATTATCCAGCTACTCTTATTAATCATATGACTCTTCCTCCTTTTTCAGAAAAAAATAGTAGAAGCAAAAGTTCAACCCAACAATATGACTAATGTATTATTTGAACCAAATCCTCGATTAAAAAATAAAGCATTATTTACTGCGAATGCATAACTCAATATTGAAAATAGAACAATAAAAATAAGTATAATTAATGCAACCAATCGGCAACAAACGCTTTCCGAAAGAACCAAATTAGGTATAGTGACACAATTATCTTCTACAATTGGTGTTACCATACCATCAAATTATTTGATAGAACGCATTCCGGAAGGAAAAGCGTGTAAAGCGCTCATTCCTGCAGAGAAAGGAGCGAAAAAATCAAATAAATTCAGTTGTAACAACATGCCGACCTCAACATTACATGGGAAACAACATCAATGTCGTGAATGTTATCGAAATTTTAATACTGGCAATGAATTATTTAAACACCTTAGAAACAAATGTTATTCTGAAGAAATAAGACAACAAATAAATAAATTAACTGAACATATAAGTGATGATAAACAACGAGAACAAATTTTTTAAATTTTATGGAAATATGGAAAATTATTTGACATTAGTGAACCATCAAAAATTGATATAATTTAAAAAAATGCTATTGATACTGGTATACACCGTCCTATTCATACACTACGATATAGAAAATCAAACAAAGATCAAGAAACCTTAAGAAAAGAAACAAATAAATTATTAAAAAATGGAATTATTGAACATTCAACATCACCATGGTCTTCATCTGTCGTTTTAGTAAAAAGAAAGATGGAACAACAAGATTTTGTGTCGATTATCGTCGGTTAAATCAAATTACAACAAAAGATGCTTTTCCCCTACCAAGAATCGATGATATTTATGATCAATTAACAAAAGCAACATATTTTACGAAATTTGATTTTAAAGCTGGATATTTTCAAGTACCATTAGACAAATTAGATCGACCAAAACAGCATTTTCAACTCAAGATGGACATTTTCAATTTAAAGTATTACCACACGGCCTTACTAATGGACCACCAACATTTCAACGTATTGTAAATCAAATATTAGGTCCAAATAGGTGTAAACATGTACTCGCCTATATTGATGATATTATTATTTACTCACAAAACTTTAATGAACATTTAAAACATATTGAAGAAGTATGTTCATTATTACATGAAGCAAATTTTAAATTAAATGTCGATAAATGCGAAGTTTCAAGAACAGAAATATTATTTCTTGGACATTTAATTAAAGCTGGTACTATTAAACCTGATCCAAACAACATCCGTGGTTTGACCGATACACAAGAACCAACATCAGCTGAAGAAGCATTTAGATTCGTCAAAGCAGCAGAATATTATAGAAAATTTATTCCAAAATTCTCCATCATTGCTGCACCATTACACCAATATTCTCCAGAAACATTACAACAACAAAAGATTAATAAAAAATTAAAATTTGAATTATCTGTTGAAGCTAGAACAGCATTCCACCAACTGAAGAAAACATTAACAACCGACCTTATTCTCGATTTACCTGATGATACATTGCCATTTAAATTACAAACTGATGCTTCTGTAGATGGAATTGGTGCTGTTCTATTACAAATTACTCCCAATGGTGATCGACCATTAGCATACATGTCCAAGAAATTAACAAAAACACAAACTAATTGGCCAACAATTGAACAAGAATAGTGAAATAGTCGGTGTTGTAAGTACTAGATCAATTGTAGTGTCTGATCGTAAGGAAGTTTTCATACCTTGATTCTAAATTTCATACATTTCACTAACATCAAGCCATTCAGCAAGAATTTTTCCTTTGTGATTAATAGAGGTACACCCCCAGTTCGGATGTTTAGCATTGAGATCACCAACAATAAGCTGAACTGCAATAATATTCAATTGATCAATTTTTATTTGAATAGAATTTATCTTTTTATCGATAGCTAATACAACACCACCGTGTGGATTAGTACCTTTGCTGGTAAAGATATTATATGAAAATAGAAGTTGCTTAATAATTTTATCAGGAACATGAGTACCTAATTCATTTAACGAAATTATAGTTGGATTGTATTGTGTAACCATATCGAGTAAGTCGCATTGGTTCGAAAAGAAATGTCGTATATTGTAATGAAGAATTGATAATGGTGTTACGTGAATCTCAGGTTTTTTGACTTCTTGTAGCCAGTTGTTGATTACTTGCATCTTATTTGAGTTATCATACCATTCGGAAAATGCAGAGCGCGTTAGTGCCATTTGAAATTACGATAGACCAGAACAAAGATGTTGAAATTTTTCTTCTATGATATTTGCTTCTGAGTTTATTATTGCTTTAATTGATGGTAAAATTGTTTCAAATATTAATGTTTCTAATTCACAAGTAGTACTTTTAAGATTGTCAACAATTTTTTCTACTTCTATAACTTGATTAATTAGACGTTCTTCAAATTGTTGTAGTCGATATTCAATTTTATTGAAAATGTTGTTAAGATATTTTCGATGTAGAAATGATTTCGGTCATTTTTATGTGGTTGTTGTTGATGTTGTGTCTGAGCCTGTAGAATTGATGCATACGTTTGTGGCTGAGAAGAATATCTTTGTGTTGTTGTTGCTGTTGTTGTATTGATGTCGAAGGTAGTTGAGGAAATGATTGATTGTTGTTATTGTAATGAAGTTGTTGATCTTGCTCTAGATTTATTAATAGTTGTGTTCTTTTTCTCTTTGATTTTGACTGATTTGTCTTCTAATTTGTTGTACTTCCGGGCAGGCTGAATGACCTGCATAATGGTCTTGACCACAGTTAATACATTTGATTTCATTTTGACAATTATTGTTATATGGATGATCTAATCCACACCGGATACATAGTTGAACTTGGCTAGTGCATTCATTTGTGATGTGATGATGACTGTAACATTTCATGCATTTGCTTATCTTTTCAGGAGGATGATATTGTTTCACTAAGTTCTTCATATGACCAATTGTTATACGACCATCATCAAGTAATTTCTTGACTTGTTGAAGTGAACAAAAATCGGCACGCACTAAATTTAAAGGTTTGTTGTTAAATGAATACATTCTTGTTAATTTAATTAATGTAGGATATAAGGTTTTTAAATCTTCAAAAACTTCTTCAATGTTCCAGCTATTAAAGAATTGTTGGATTACTAAAGAACATATTGAAGGTAAAACTCGTGGAATTTTAAATCAAATTCACAATCATTGATTTTGGTCGGCCAATTTTGTTGATTGAATAATTCTTCAAAACTTGTTTCATCATTCGCAAAGATTAAAAGACATTTTCCATGTCCGAATCTTCCTGTAATATCAGGTACATAATTATTTTTGTCTTTCCATTCTACAAGCAGAAGTTCTAATAATTTACGATCTGTAACCTGTTCATCTTGTGATGACCTTTTGAAAGTTATTGAATAAGGAGGAAATTTTGAACTTTGTTTAAGAACTTTGTAATCACTTGCTTTTGTTGTTTCTGTGATTGTGTGATTGCTTGGTGGTGTTGATTGCATTACAATTGACTCTTGCATTGCATGTTTATTTGTATTGTTACGGTTGTTGTTGTCGATTTGAATATTTGTTGTTTGAGTGTTGGAGTTTGGGGTTTTGAGGTTGTTGGAATTTTTCTTGAAAGAGGAGTTTGTATTTTCTTTTGATGACTCATCAGCCCCCATCATTCCTTAAAGGCAATGTATAGAGCGGAGAGAAGAAAGAAAAGACAAAAGAAAGAAAAGTGCGCTATGAAAGTGTGAATGTAAGAGTGTATCAGTAGTGTAAAAATACGTCAGATCACTATCGATGCATACGAGTGAATGATACGAAACCACTAAAGCATGCTTCATGTGGGAAAAAGCATTGGGTCTAAAATAGCGATAGTAGTCATGAGTACTCTGTGATTTACATGATATATTCTCAAACACACTCCACAGAACAGTCCTCAATACCATTGCGAATTCGTTAATAGAAATTAGTAGAAGTCTTGGACGTAGCCTAGATCTTTCGTTGTTGATTCTCAAGAAAACGTGTTTTGAACGCCTTTCAAAGTCAGAATGATAATCTATTTTTGTGGTTATGAATTTTCAAATTGCTACAAGCAACGTCTTTTCCAGTCTTTTCTGTGCCCTCTCGGTGTATTACGATAAAGCTACAAGCAGAATGAGTCACGTGGATTAAATACGGTCGCATCTTCATTATATGTTGTGAAGTAGCTTGACTTTTTAATTTTGAGCATCGGCTAACACATAATTATTGCAATATTCAACATTTTTGCGAATTTCTCAACGAAAATGAATCTTAAATCTAGATATCACTCTTCAATGATATGCTGTGAGATTCAAAATGAGAATGTTCAAGTTAAATCATATTATGATAGTTAAATCATGGCTTTATAAGATGGAAACTGGAACACTGTGATTGTGTATTGCTCGATTCTTTCGAGAGCGGCAATCACAAAACATGAAAAATATATGCTCTTGTTATTATAAGCAAAAATTTTCGAATGAAATCAACATTTATTTTTCAAATGAGACTAAAGTCAAGAAATGTCAAAAACGTCAGTTTTCATCAGAAATATAACTACCATGCTGCTCTACTGCACGAACGCAGAGATACTCACATTTCAAGCAAAACTCACTTCGTATTCTCTTCTTCTGAGTTTCACTAATCCTCTTGAGTTTTAAATATATATGATAATAGACGTTTGTATCAAGAATATTGCAGAATTGTTAACCTAATAATTTCAAGTATTATGACTTACCAACCCCTTAGCACGCTGATGGTAACGAACTAAAGTTCTTTTTGAACAATCCTCTGAATCTTTCAGAGCAAAGAAACTGTTCCAACTAGTCTCAGGTACCCGTGTCAATGACCAAACTATTGTTTCCATGAAAAACATTACTATAATATGCAAATAATCGGATGCTATTTCAATTTATCATCGTTGCAGAGTGCTGATAGACTTTGCTATTGCATGACGCACTGCTTTTAGTCTCATAAAGCAATCATTCAACTACTGCAATAAACTTCTCCATCATCATTCTTTGTGGGAAATTCCTGAAAAGTCTCTTAAAGGCAGAAAAACAAATTATACCGTTTACTTATCCTGAAAATCTTCCAACAATACCACTCACCGAGGTATTTAAGCGAGACCTTCTATATGGAAGGTCTTGCTATCGAACCCTTACCAGTCTAAAAACGTCATCATTCTGTTGAATCTTTGGAGCTCTGTCTACCGAGCTACTAGTCAGACTTCCACAAGAATCCATATCTTGATCGCTCTGGAACACCTGATCCGTATTCATGAAACCCGTATGACGTCTCGAACATAATGCACTTATCACTTCCTAGTAGCCCTGTTTTAAGGTTTCAAAATCATGTGGATTCGTAGCAGTTTTCACGCTCCATCTGATAAGGTATTATCAACGTCGAAACAAGAAGGTTTCTCCAGATAATTATAGAGCAAAAGTTTAGAATTCATGCAAACTAGGTAGTGTCTCCAACATAGGATACTTATCATGTACGGATGGCTATGCATTTTAAGGTTTAGAGATAATACCGTTTCGCAGCATTTTCACGCTCTATTTACTGAGATATTATTGAGGCGGAAGCAACAAACTTTTACTTTACAGGAATAGAGAACAATAATTACAAGTTATAAAAACCAGCTAGATTTCGAACATGGTGCGCTTGTCATATCCTAGTGGTCATGCTTTTTAAAGTTTCAAAATCATGTGGTTCAGTGTCAGTTTTCACGCTCTACCTAGTAAAATATTAACAAAGTTAGAGCAAGAAACTTTCTCTTAACAAATATAGAGAAAAAGTTTACCGTTTATTCAAACTTGGGTGGGCTTTTGAACATAGTGCACTTATCATGTCCTGGTGGTCATCGTTTTTAAGGTTTAAAAGTGATATGGTTCTATACAATTTTTCACGCTCTATCTGCTGAGGTATTATGGAGATTGAAGCAAGAAAGTTGTTCTTGACAAATTGTCCATCTAGCTTACTATGCTTAAGTCAGATGCGCATCATTATGGGCTTAAGGAAAGTGTTAAGGAAAAATCATTATGGTCCCTCGAGTATAATATAAAAATGTTAGGTAAAACTTTCTCTTTCGTTCCATGCATGATTCAGTGGTGTTCAATGAAAAAACGTCTAGTGGGCCGATTCAGGTTCTTATGCGTCCCCTGCTTTATAAATGTTACTTTATTGACGTACATAGAGCCAATTTTCAGAACTAATTAGTTTAAAAGTCAACGGTTACGAAATGTCAAATTTTCAAACATGGAACACTAGATTTTGCAAGGAAGCATTTTAATTAATTACTAGTTTTGAAAACTTGTTCTATCTACATCTATATAGTTCGTTTAAGCTTGTGATTTTATCTATCGAATAATTCATGTGCATTTTTCTTACATGATAACAATAACACTTAATAGTAGGATTTGTTTACGTTATCCGTATGAAAAGAAAACTTTAGATAAACTTGTAACACTAATCCAAAAAGCAGCACATTCGAGCAAACTGAAGCGGTGACATTTTCAACTTTGTACTCTTGTATGTCCATCTCTAATTCACATGGAATTACAATGCAAGCTTACCTTTGATTAATGGAGCATTTGAGTACTGGAATAAAATATTTGTATGTGTCTACTGAGAAGCATTATGAATATTTTAGTGCTAAAGTTTACATTCGAATCTGCGATTATGATATATTTAACATGATATAATTTTCAATGAGATGTAACATGTTCCTTATTGAAAAACATCTTTATTAATCATTCTTAGAAAAAGACAATAAATGAATTTTCAATTTTGTTCGCTATTTTAATTATAAAAGAAGCTACGAGAAAAAAATATCATTATTTTAATGTATGAAAGCATAAACAAGGACAATCATATAAAAAGAGAAATATTAATTTGGTCATATTTAATGATTTGAGGAATGAATATTTGTGCATATAATCATTTTGTCTTGTTCAATATCATGCTATTTGATTAAAAGTTAGTATTTTTAACTTTTGTCTTTGATGCTCCCGATTGATTTTTTTGCTGACTCGATTTTCCTGAACTCTTCGCATTGACAATACGAAAACTTTCTAGAATATGAAAAAAAAACATTCAAATATATTATGCAAGAAAAGATCCGCTGAATAGATTTTGTCATTTCATTTTGTAAAGATAATATTTTTTCGAAAAAACATAAAGAACAATCACTATCGACTATTGTACTAAACAGTTACAAAGTGCATATTAGTCATCTCAGGTGCAGCAGGCCATATTTATCTTTTATTTGACTTCGATGAATAAGTCCTCTTAGCATAGACGTATATAGAAATGTTGGCTCTTTGAGAAGACTACTAATTAAAAAAAAATAACTAGCGAATATGTCTCTAGCAATCCGAGAAAAAACTCGAAAACTTCATGATAGACTCTACGATATGAACTGTATCTATGGTGAAAACTTTCAGCAAGACTGTATATGAAAAAGAACTTCCTCGTAAAAAAAGCAGTTTTGTAGAAATTTTCAAAAAGGATTTGTACTGTTTAAAATTGGTTTTGAAATTCTCATTCGATTATAAGAGCTTTTTTTCGTTTGAATATAAACATGCTGACAATAAACTTTGAATAGAGATTTTGTAGCTTTAGAAATTGTTTCCAGAATGTACTGTTTATTCTTCAAAAATGTTGTCTCAATTCTGAATTCCTTTTTTGCCTAAAGTGTATTACATGAAACTCGATGTCCAGTCTTATGTCACATCGCTAACGTTAGTTTTTGTTACTGATAACTCCACTTAACAAAAGTCTCTAATATTGATTTTATCACGATATCTAGAATTAAGAAAGTTCATTATCTTGGTTAAAAATATATGAAATCAAGTCTATGAAATTCTAATTTGACGTAAAGATTACGAACAATTTAACCATGATAATGATTATACCTCATGTAATCGACTGGAAATGAGCTTTGTATTTATATCTTACCAAGAAATTCATTAATATCAATTTTTCCATTTTTATCCAAATCCATAGCAGAACTAAGTTCCTCAATATATGCTTCATTTACATCACCATTACCATTTTCACCATAGAGTAAAAGTTTAACACAATCAGAAAATTCATTACGACTTATAAAACCTATGATATTATATATATATATATGTTTATCAAAGTAAAATGAGTCATACCTGAATGATTGAAATCTATTAAATTAAATAATAACATAAGCATATCTTTCCACATGTATAAATCTTCCATAATACCGAGATTAGACTAAAATAATCAAAATAAAAATTTAATTTATAATTTGTTCTTTTACATACCATTTGAAATTTCGTATTATCTAAAGTTAATCCATCAAACATAGTATTATAAAGAATTCCTTGTGTATCTTCTTGTACAAGTTTTGAACGTAATGTAAGCCAAGGTAAATCAATTTGAAGTATATTCGTCATAATCTCAGACCAAACTGTCAATGGTAAATGATCTAATTAGACACAAAAAAGATATTTTTATTCAAAAGAAATATGATTAAAAGTTCTATACTAGTTTGATTTTTATCCGCTTTTTCAAATTCTTTTTGAAGTAAACTTTTATTTGTCATGATTTTTTCTAATAATGATTGATAAGCTGGATCTTCGAATAATGTTACTCTTTAACAAAACAAAAGAAAAAAGAAGGAAAATAACAGACATATTTCCATTTCGATTATCTTACTGTTTATTAAAACTTAATTTTTCCATTTCAACTGGTTCAGTTTTATATGAAATTAACCATGGCTCTTGTTCATTATAATCCCTAAAATAAATTTAATATTTCAAACAATAAAGAAATAATGTCATTGACACAAACCATCGTACAATTGCACCCCAATTGGATCCATTACAATAATTTGATGCACTAAAAACAGTTAAAACTTTGCGATCATGTGCGAATTCATAACCCTCTTCTTTGACTTGATGCGAACGTATAAGCATTGAAAGATTATATTTCTTAAGAAATTGTTCTGTTATATCTGAACCAAAAAAACAAGCCATATTTCTTGCATCATTTTTTCGACAACCTTTGCGATTATGAGGATCTGGATCACTCCAAAATAAATCTAAAGACATTTCATATCAAGTACATAAGATGATTTATGTGTATTATTTACTACCTTGTATTTGACGATATTCATTATCTTCATCAGCAGTCAATCGTTTACCACCACTTTGAGATTCTGGTGGTACTTCAATTGAAATATCTAGAAAACGATAAATATTAACATTAATGAAAGAGTTGGTAATTCGAAATTTGAGCAATATTTGATTTTTTGTTTGTCATAGTTGAATAGAAACTGTCGGGTTAATTCTACAAATGTTGATGATGTCAAAGATAATATTTATTTTTCTTCTTAAAAGTATGTTTTAGGTTTTTACGACTAATTCTAACTGACTTCGAGACCTATGTTTTGTATCAGACGCAAACGTAAAAGTAGCTTCGAAAAGAACATTCAAAACTGGTCACAAATGACATGAAGAATTGCTAGAAGTACGGTAATTCTCAATACTGGTAATATTTTAAAATCTGATTAGAAATTCAAAGCATTGATTTCTCCCTATTTACGTAAAATACATGCTCAGTATTAAGGATTGCCATACTTCTCGCGATTTTTGATGCCAGTCGTGATCAATGTTGAACGCTTCATGTCACAAAATCAGTTGGAAAGCATCGAAGAGAATTTAACAAATGTGAATTTTCGAGCAATTCTGAAACTGTTGTTTTATATTTCATCAATTTTCACTATTGCTTTTTATAGGCATTTGCTGAACTTTTCTGGAAGCAAATTTTTCTAAGTTTCACTAAAATATCTTAAAAACAAAAACACCAGAAAAGATGTTGCTTGAATTTCATGTTGTCGGCACCGTTTAAAAAATATGTATATATCATTTTTAAACTTACATCGACTTCTTGTAAGAGTATTTATTTTTTTTAAATTAATTCGATCAGATATTCCTCCATGCACTATCATAAGTTTAGATTTTCCCGCATCAACATATGAATAAAGTGGTAGCCAACTAAATATATCTTTAAATAGATCAAGTAATGGTGTTTTACGTGTCTAAATATACATTCGATAGATACATATTTCTGATATATTATGAACTAACCGGATATTTTTTATTAACTTCATTTTGAAAACCATATCGAACTGTGACCATTATATCTTCATGATTACCTTTTCATTTTTATTTTAAAAAAATGCACAAAGTTAAATAAAACAAATAAGAATGAAAAGAAAATAAATACCTCGATTAAGAAAGACGGAACTTGGACAATATATCAATGCAACCATAAGTAAAAGAAAAACTTCAACTGAATTTGGACCTCGATCAACAAAATCTCCATTGAATATATATGGATTATCAATTGCAGGTAGTCCATTCTACAGATAATTAAAATAGAGAAAAAAAAGAAATTCTTACCAATATTTACTCTACCGCATTAAATATATGTAATAAATCAGCTAATTGTCCATGGAGATCACCAATGATGTATATATGATGTAAATTAGATAAATCAATATGATTAAAATTTGGTAAACTCTTAAGTATAGCACGTGCTTGATGAAGAATTTGACAGACATATTTTTCATGTAAAACCTTTGAATAGATGAAGATTTATGCAAACAAGATTCTAGTTCTTTTTTTGGAAATTATAGTGAGTGATTACAACGTCACTTATACTAGTTTTTCATAAGAGGTACATCTAAAGACAAGGATACGAAAATATTTATTCGACATTAATATTGGTTAAACCCATCGTCGCAATAGAAGCTTCCGGAGTTTATAAATAGTTGGATATGACGCAGAAAAACATTTTTTTGGGGGAGAAAATGTTTTGCTTGAAAATTGTTCTGTGCAATATATCATTCGATGCAGTTTAATGTGTTGATTCTGAATATAGTATTTTTTTCAATTAAATATGTTTTCGAAGTCAGAAAAACTGAAAAATACGTGATAAACGAAGGTTTTTTTGAAAGCTCACTCTACAGTCTAGAAGTGTTTGCACTAATAGGAATGAAAAACAGTAAATAGAACAACATTCAAGGACAAATTTGAATATGTAGGTCAGGAGAGTGAATTTGGGTCTTTACCGCAGGATGACTGATAGATAGAAAAATTAAACAAATGATTTTTAACATGAAATTTTGTTTATAAGTTGGCTGCATTGTTGTAAAAACATTCTTAGTTTCAATATACGAGATAAATTTCCTCCTGAGATATTTAGTGTTCAAAAACTTCCTTATTTTTCTATCTCTTATTACTAGAACTCGTCAAGTCCCTACACATTTCTCAAACAATATTAATAATGATTTTATATGAATCAAGTCATCAGTGACTCTTACTTGTAGAGAGTATCATTCGTTGGATCGATCCCGAGCTCTTGACCAACCCGACGGAGTCTAATCATTACTATGTAGCAAAATCTTGTGGGATTATCCTAATATAGAAGTTGTCTTTATACGTCTAAAATACGATCTCAAACGTAATGAATCATGTCATGCAATTCCTTCATGTGACAAATAGCTAGTTTATTTTTGACATGTAGTTTCTTTGAGAAAGAATTGTTCTATGTCAAAATATTTCCCAATAGAATACTGATATTTATGTTAGCAACTCAGCAATTAGGAAATTCTTATTTAAGACATATAAAGCAATTATAGATTTGCAATCCAGCATAATAATTGGCATACCAACGTAAAAAAAAAAGAAAGACAACCATTTTAAACATTTCGTATTTCCACTTTTATATTAATTTACAAAAGTAATTATCTATTTTGTTTTCACGTTTAGTATTCCTAACTAATCATTGTATTGAATCGTAATAGTTAAATTTACTCATACACACAGTTTTGATGTTACTCATAATCTTCTAAATCATCTATCGATAGATAACCTTTAAAGTATTTTATAACTTAATCCTCTACAGCTTGTGTTGAATGTTCTGTCTCACTTACTTGTCCATGTTGAAAAGCTTCAATCAAATCTACAAATGTCTTTCTTGTAATTGGGCCTTCGATACCTAGAAAAAAAAGTAAATTATCAAACAATTTAATCTAAACAACAAAAAAAGAAAATCAATCATTTACGTGGTCCTTGATAGCTAGTTTCAACAATAACATTATCAGGATTTGTTAATCGTAGAAGTTCTTTTTCTTCTACATAAAAATGAAATCGAATATATCTATTATCTACTTTACTTCTAAACAATACATTACCTACAGGTAATCCAGCTTTATGAAGTAATTTTGCAACAGATGGTGAAAGTAAATCGGATGCTTTGAGTAATTTTTCAAACATATCTTTAAGCTAATATTTATAAATAAATTTTAAATCCCAATGTAATTAAAGAAAAAACGAAATGAGATTTTGTTTACTTTGGCTTCAGTTTGTTCACTAGAATATTCAAGTTTTTCATGTATTTGCCATGCTGCTTGTTTTTTTAATCTAAGTCGAGCTTGATGATTACGAAATGCAGCTTGAATTTTTGTTGCAGATTTGTCAGCTAGAATAAAAAAAATTTTTTTCTTAATTATAAACGTCTTTGTCACTCATATTCCGTAAGCCTTCATGAAATATTTACGATTGTAGTTTCTTACCAAGAAAAAAACAAAGAAACCGAAATAATAAAACTTCATACCTGACAATGATGATAGTCGAGTAACCATTGCGAATTTATCTGGTTGATCAGACAGTAATGCTACTTGAGGTACAATCTGAATGAAAAACAAAAAACTTATAAATTAGTTATGAAAATTCTATTTTTTCAAAAGCAATAATCAAATGATTTCTAAATATATGGCAGCATACTTTCTACTCTAAACTTTAAATAGTGATTATTTATGATCTAAAATGTCAGTTTAATAGAAACAAATTTCTTTGTTATTATGTCAAATAGACCAATAGAAATAATAAATCATCATTTTATAATTATGTATTGATTGACTTTAGTAAATGGCATAAACAACAAAAATGCTACAGACTCTCATTAAACACAGTACAACAATCAATTCTCACCTGAGCAAGTTTTGAGTAAATCATAATATTCTTTTATAAATGAGTATAATACTAATGACGCGAGAAAAAAAAATGAAATATAATAAATTTGTTTTTGCCTTTTTCTAAATCATATCTTCATATTATGAATAAGCGAAGGTAACTTACTGTCAAAATCAATATACACTAAACTAACAAATCGAAAGCAAAGCAAAAAACATGATACGAAAGTTGAGATATTTATAAAATATTTGTTATTTAGTACGCATAGGTTGCTAACTACGAGCTGCGAAGAGCAAAAAAAAGCCTTGTCGCTTGTTTTGCATCTTATTCTTCTTCTCCATCTCGTAAAGTGACGTTAATAGAACAGAAAGGAAAATTTTGATGCCCACATTAACCAAACACATCGAGCCGATTTTGCCATACTATATAATCAAATATATACAAAGAAGAAAAAACATAATGTGCTCGAGAAAGAACAAAGTCAACCGCAAAAAAAAAAACTCTCATAAAAAGTAAATTTAGTCAAATTGACGAAAGAATATTGTTTTATACGCTCGTTCACATTATTTTATTATGCCAAAATACACGTGAACGCAAGGATGCGTGACGCCTTCTAAGTTATTTCTGAAATTCATTAATACACAAAAGTTCTTGCTTTTGAAACCTGTGCACTCCTCTACCTTCTTCTCTCTTGTTTGTAGTGCTGTGCTATACTTTAGCATGAATCCTCACTTACATATACATGCATATGGAAACAAGTTAAATTATATTTTCTTCGTTTTACAGCCTCTTTTTCTTCTGTTACGCATAGCAAAAGCTATTATTACACATTTCATAAACATATAAATGAGAACAAATAAATTTTTATTACAATATGGTTTACACTCGAATAATACAACAGAGTGAAAACAGTATAGAAAAACACAATTTAACTTTTAACTTTCTTTTTTGGTGATTCGTGATTCGTATCTGATGATGATGATTTACTTTCATCATCACTGGAATCGTTACTGCTGCTGTCACTACTGCTTTTATGACTACCGCTAGTCGAAGATTTGCTAGATGATGACGACGACGATGATGATGATGACGAACTGCTTGAACTTGAATCAGATGAATTTCCATCATTGTCCTTATCATTAGTATTTTTATTTTTATCAAATTTAATTGTTTGTAATTGATCCATTATTTGTCTGAAACGAAAAAACAAAAGAAATATGAGTTAAACATAAAAAAAATAATAAAATACTTTTTTTTCGCTTCATTAGCATTTTTTTCTTCATCTTGTTGATTTTTTTGTAATTTTTTTATACGTTTCTCAAGTAGCTGTGTACGTGATGGCCTTTCAACATATTTTCTTTTACGTGTACATTGATATGTCCAATGACCTTTTTCTAAACATTTTTGACATTGAGCATTGACGCTTTCTGTTTCAAGACTAGAAGCAAAATAAATGGTTAACATTGAAAACTAATTAGTTAACTTCTTTTTTTTAAATCTGATGAAACAACATCACTACGAGAGAAAACAGTTTTGCAGTTGATCATTTTTCTTTCTTTTCATACTCATGTATTTCTTACAGGATATAAATAACACAAATGAAACAAAATATAATTTAAAATACTTTTCGATATAATATAACATTTGAAATTTTTATTAATGAATCCAAATATAGATAAAATCTTACCGTTCACGCATAAGTGCACGAGGTTTTCTAGGTGGTATGGAATACATGTTTGATAGTTTGATAGTTTGTATTTCAATCTGAAATTATAATCAGCTATTTACGTATTCTAATAGGCAACATATCAAAAAAATTTAATCAAATGAATAAAATTATACATGTGTTTGTCAAATTTCACAAATACTTTATTTATCTTCAATAGAATAAGTGTTTTTATCAGATGTCTATCTTTTATCATCTGTATTGCATAGTTAGACTAACTTTGTTTCTTTTTCTAGTAATTAACATTAGTTTTAACTCTCTCGAAATCATATAGGATATATAATTACTAAGTAATTCAAGAAAGAATCATAGATTTCATAAAATGTTGAACTTGCAAATAAAAGAAATTCTTAAAATTACATTTAGAAAAGTTGTTAGCATGATTCCTATGGAATGAAGATATGAAATATGATGTAGCTTCTGTTGCTAATCACAGGGAGTCAATCGATTTTAGAACACAATTCGTCATCAGCAAAGGTTTACTCTATTTTATGAACAACAGTACATCGAATCATGATTGAATACCTTTCATTGAAACCATGCAAGATGTAATTTGTTCATGAAATTGAGCAGATCTTTGTGACAACTCGAACACTTGATTATGGTTCATTTTTTACCAACATCATGAACTTCATCGAATTTTTAACGATCGTCAAGAGCGTTCTTGATAATTTACTGTACAAATTTCATAAAAGCATAGAGATTTTTGAGATACTCTGTGTTATATTAAGTCGGCTGACTGCACTACCATTTATGAAAAAGATGACTTTTAAATTTTCGAATTTATATTTCATTCAAACAGAAAAGTAATGAAGAAAATCTGCTTCTATCAAACTTATTTTTGCATTCGGAATATATCTGTTAATAAACTATGATGTAATCCTAATGCAATCTCATGGTATAATACCAATCATGATAATCAATGACCTTCAAAAAAAAAAAACGAAAAATTCAAAATTATTAATCTTTAAAATTTTATTTACTCTAGCTGTTCTAAACTTTTCTTTGTTGAATATTTTCAAATAGATAAATAAGAAAAAAAAATGAGATGAAATATAAACATATATATATAAATATATATCATTTTTTCACATCTTTATATGCAACAACAAACATTTGAGGTACATCAAACTCCGGTGAATAACCACTATTATAAGATGAATCTTCAAATATAATACTATAACAATCTTTACCAACTCGTGGTATATTTTCAACCACACCCTTATAAAAACATGATGTTTGAGGATAAAGTGCAAGTACAATAGTACGTGGTGGAAATAATGCTTGTTGGCATGTTAATGGACAAGCACGCCATTGTGGTAATGGTATAATATGCCGTTTACTTATATTATAATAATGTCCTTTGTCTGGTTCAGCATCAATATCAACAATATCATATTTTGTTTTGTTTGGATGTACATTAGCTACTTCAGCTAATATCCAATTTTCATCACCATCATCACTTTCAACAAAACCTGCTATACGATCACCAACATGACATACATGATTTGATGCAGCAGGTATGGCACCACAAAGTGGTGGTGGTGAAACATCATCCTAAATGTAAAAATAAAATAATACTATTCCTAAATGTCTTCTACTTCTTTAATGTGTTTTTCCTATTGAATTTTTGACATGTACAGATACAACTCATACATGATAGTCTATTCATTTTGAATTAGGATTATTGAGAATTTGGTTTTCTAATAGCACTCAACTGGTTTAAACGTGATGAATATATCTTATATCGATTTTAGGCTAACACAAAAAGAGTGTTCATAATTTCAATCTAATAAAACAAACAGAATTTAGTTTTCTAGTTGTGTGAAATTACCTTACTCGAAAACTCACTTTATCTGTATCATGTTCATTATCTTCATTGTCATACCAAATTTTTAAAGCATAAGCCATATGTGAAAGAAGATCAGCTAAACCTCGTCGTGTTGTATGGCTACGACTAGCATCATTATGATTTTTTGAAGCATTTGCAATTTCAATTTGTAATTGTCGAACTTGTGCAATTTTTTCTAAAGCTGTTCGATACATATCTATTTCATTGTGAACATGAGTAAGTGCTTCAGTTAAATTATTTTTTGATGATTGAGAATTTGTATTTTCATTTGATGATATTGGTGATTTTTGTTGTTGAATTGAAAGCCATACATCCCGACTTGTATTATAACATTCTTTTGTTTTTTTCAGATCATCTTGTAATTCAAGTAAGAATCTTTGAATTTTTAATTCATTTTGACTAATTATATCTTTTGCTTCAGTTGAAGATAATTGAGCTATACTAGATGATGATGATGACGATCTACGAGATGATGAATATTCAGAATTATTATTTGTACGCGTCATTATTATTTCTATACGAATTTCATTTAGTTGTAATAACAACGACGGAACTAACAAGAAAATGATTGGTATAATATATACACCACTAGCAAATTCTAACAAATATAGATGTCATGTAAAAATAATTTCTATAATACTATTCGATCAAAATATATTGATATAAGAATAAAGAAAAAGATCTTTGAGACTTCTCAATATTTAATTATAATTTTAGTATAGTAGTTTAGACTTATAATATTGAGTATTGTGATATAGAAAGTACTCTTCCGACAAGACATCATATTAAAAATAAAATTACAAGATTAACTGTTAGAATTATTAATCGAAATAAGATCTTAATAGATAAATGCTATAAACATGGTTTTAAAGATTTTAATATTATCCATTTTTCGAATAATATTTCTTTACTATGATGGATGATATTTTTTTTCTTTGCAATAAAATTCCACTGTTCTTACATGACATCTATATTTTGACGTATTCAGCTTGCATAACATTGCTCAACACATAATTGTATATCGATAGGTTTGTTTTTTTCCTCATCATTGTTTCGTGAAAAAGAAAAGCATAATAATAATATAGGTAATATGCAATTGTATTTAATATTTCATCTTTCTCTAATGAAATAAATATTTAAATTTGAAGAATATTTAATAAATAAATAAAAATGTTTTCTTTTCTATTTGACAATAAATTTGTCTTAAGTAACCAATCAACATTTGGGAAAAATTAAATGATTCATTAGGAAATATTATGAATAAAAGATTCAAATCTGTATGATTTTCTTTCATTGACGAAATTAATACGAATCGTATAAAGTTAAAAAAAAGAACATAAATTAATTAATTGAAAAAAAGAAACATGCAGCCTAATAGTAATCGACCAGTCTACATTGTTCAACCATCAAATATAACTCATTTAAATGTACGACCGACAATTATAACAACTGGTGGTCAACAAGTACAAACACAACAACAACCAATTTATCAAATATCAACAATACGACAACCAACAATCCCTCAACAACAATCAACAATCTATCAAGTTCCATCACAACCTCGTCTTGTTACTTCATCACCAGTTTATGCTGCTTTACAATCTCAAAGATTTCCTACGTCACCACAACAAATATTAACAACAAATACAAATCTATCACCTCGTCTTCTTACTCCTCAATCAGCACCACGCATGCCAATTGTTGCCACACAACCAACAACAACTATATTACGACCAAGTTTAACAACAGTATCAACGTCACCGAAGGTAACATCAACAGTACCTACGACACCACCTGCTCCAACAGCAACATCACCACAAGCGGCTGCATCAGCGTCGAAAGATATTTTTGTTAGAGTACCTAAGTAAGTCATATTCTGTTCATCTAAATACATATCTGAATAAAAAATTGAATCTATAAATTTTTATCCTGTAGAACTCGAGCTCAATATGGCATTATGGAATTTTCAAGTGGTCTATCACTTGATGTAAAAGATTGGAAAGCTATTGAAATGAGACGTGAAATAAATCCATATACATATCGTCCAGCAACAGCTATTGATCCTAATGCTTCAACAAATTCATCATCGATTACAACATCACTTGGTGCTGTTTTACCTAAAACCGGTGCCGGTAGTGAATATGGTCGAGAACAAAAAGAAGCATTAAAACGAAAACGTTATGCAACGAAAGGAACAAATGTTGATGATCTACCTTGGATATTAACTGATCGTTCATCAACAGAAAAAAAATTAAAACATTATCGTGGTTTAAAAAAAGGTGGTGTTACAACAAATTCATCTTATTATGTATTTATACAAGGTAAAGATGGTTTTGAAGCATATCCTGTTGAAGATTGGTATGGATTTACACCGACAAATGTATATAAAACACTTGATTTTGATGAAGCTGAAAAACAATATCAAGAACGACATAAACATTTAAGTAAATGGTTTTTAAAACATCAAGTTACAAAAGAAAAAGATGTCGAAGATAATAATGCTGAAAATGATGATGAAAAAGGAAAAAAATCAACAAATAAAAATAAACGTTCTTTTAAATTACTTGATACAGAAGATTGGATTAATGAAAATGAAGAAGGTAAATAATTTGAAGTTGAAAACAAAAAAAAAAAAGAACTTATTTTTTTTTTTTTTTATAGAAGAAGAGGAAGATGATGAACGAGAAGATAATGATGATAATGATAAATCAAATAAAAAAGCAAAAACAAGCAAAAAAACTGAAAAAAAACCAAAAGATGCATGGACATTAAGTGATGAAGATGAAAATGAAACAGACGAAACAAAAAAGAAAAAGAAAAATACAACTGAACATCAAACAAGTGAAAATCAAGAAGATTCAGATGATGGTGATCATGAATGTAAGAATTCATTGATTAAAAATATAATCTACATATCATTTCGAATATGTTCCTCCGTATTCTAATGAAAATCCTAAAACAAATTGAGTTTCTATTGATATTTTTGAATTTTGAACTATGTGATACGAGATTCAAGATTGTTGATGCTGCTACTTTATCTTCCATAGCAATTGGGTGTGGGAAAATAATTGATCTGTGTGCATTTTAATGCTGCCTATTTTTTTTAATATTTGTTGATTCAGACTTGATTTTTTTTTATTGATGTAAATAGTATCC